TCTACCACCACCCCTTGTTCGCACCATGACTCAGAAAATAAAAGAAATGGCCCCGAGTTCCCGGCGCCCCTTTAATGGGGCAGGGGTGCGAAGAATCTCCGGGAGAAAAACCGGCGACGAGGTTCGCCACCCGTCACGTTCTGTCTCTCGGAGGGGCGAAAAGTGGATTGCGGCAACCCGTCTGGCTACGCTGAATGTATGTGGAGGAATGAATGATAAGATGGATGAAGTATGCAAAATGATGAATGACAGAGGAATAGATGTGTTATGTGTAAATGAGACGAAACGAAAGGGAAAGGATGCCACTGCACATGGCACGTATACCGCTATTGGTCTGGTGTAGACGAGACCGAACGGGCATGCCAGGGAGTCGGTTTCATCCTTTCAGAAAGAATGGGTTAATGTGTGATAGAGTATGAATGTGTAAGCCCGAGGCTGCTATGGATACGAATAAAAGTGGGCTTAAAGAAGCTGTTCCTGCTAGGGTTGTACGCCCCAGACATGTCTAAGCCCACTTACATCCGAGAACAGTTTTGGGACATGGTAAGGACGGTATTGACAAAATGTAAGGAAAATGAAAATATTATTATGTTAGGAGACTTTAATGGAAGGGTTGGGGTGAAGAGGTCTGGTTATAAAAGGATATTGGGAACGTTTGGTGATGAAAGTATAAATGAAAATGGTGAAGACCTCCTCACCGTATGTGTGAAAAAGAATCTTTTTGTGACGAATACTTTTTTTCGTCATAAGAAGATTCATATGTATACATGGGAAAGAGGTGACGATAGAAGCATGATAGATTTCGTAATTGTGGATGAAAGAATGAGGAGCGCAGTCGTGGATACAAGGGTTTACCGGGGGTCCAACGTAGGGACGGATCATTACTTGGTCTTATGTCGAATTAATAGTCTTTTCAAGCGTTGGCGGCATCGGACATCTGTGTCTACCACTGCGTTACAGCGTATAAGAATATAGAAGTTACAAGATGAAGATGTGAAAGAGAAGTATAAATGTAGACTGAGAGGAAATATTAGATGTTTGAATGAGTTGTGTATGAATGATTTAGACTTGAATACTGTGTGGGATAATATTAAGAAAGGTTTGGTGGATGCCGCCACCGAAGTATGTGGTGTAAGTAAGAGAACAAATGAAAGGAAAAGTAATACATTGTGGTGGGATGATGAGGTACGGGTGGAAGTTGAATCAAAGAAGAAAGCATGGTTAGATTTACTAGCAACCAAAGCTGGTAATTCTTCTGGTATGAATGATGAGATTGAAAGAAAAAAGGCAGAATTTAGACGTCTAAATAAGAGAGTAAAAGAAGTTGTTGAAAGGAAAAAGAAAGAAAGAACGGATAAGAATGATAGAATATCTGATAATTTCCAGGCTAACATAAAAATGTTCTGGAAACTCGTAGGAACTGCCAGGGGAAATACAAAACAGCCTATAATGAATGCTAAGAGACGAGAATGGATGTATTCTGAATGATGAAGCTTCGATTTTAAACAGATGGAAGGAATACTTTGAAAGCGTGTTTATGAGTGAAGAGTCGTCTGAATTAAATGAACTAAAAATTTCGAAAGAAGTGGAGAGGGGTATGGAGATAAGTGTAGATGAAATAATGAAAGCAATGAAAAGCATGAAAGCAGGTAAGGCAGCTGGATATGATAGAGTATCACTCGAGATGCTAAGGGATGGAGAGGGAGTGGTGGCAGGCCTGCTGTACACCTTGTTTAATTTATGTTGGGAATTAAAACGGGTACCGGATGACTGGTGTAAAGCAGTTATAGTACCAATATATAAAGGAAAGGGGTCACAGCAGGACTGCAAAAACTAGCGGGGTATCAGCTTGCTTAGTATTGTGGGTAAACTGTATGCTAAGGTGTTAATTGAAAGAGTTATGAAAGAAACTGATGGAAAAATTTGGGATGTGCAAGCGGGTTTTAGAAAGGGAATGGGGTGCACAGATCAAGTCTTTTCCATGCGCATGATTGCGGAGAAGTTTTGGGTCAAAAATCAGAAAGTTTTTTGTGCATTCATGGACTTGGAAAAGGCTTATGACAGAGTGGACAGGAATGTGTTATGGCAAACACTGAACTCATATGGGTTGAGCGCTGGTTTGATACAGGCATTAAGGTCTCTTTATAGGGACTCTAGTGCTTGTGTCAGGATCAATGGGGTCTACTTGGACTGGTTTGGCATCCAAAAAGGTGTCAGACAGGGCTGTGTAGCTTCCCCTTGGCTGTTCAACCTATTTATGGACAGGTGTTTGCAAACTTTGAAAGATGAAGAATGTGGGTTAAGAATGGGCGAGATAACCGTCAAATGCCTTTTGTATGCCGATGATCAAGTCATATTTGCGTCATCGGCGGCTGAGTTGCAAATGATGGTTACATTAATGAACTGGGAATTAAAAGAAAGGGGAATGAAAGTGAACGCAAGTAAGACGAAAGTGATGGTTTTTGAAAGAGAAGAAAGCAAAACGGTATGTGAAATAAGAATAGAAGGAGAGTTAATTGAGCAAGTGGATGAGTTTGTGTATTTGGGATGTGTATTTAGCAGGGATGGTAGATATGATAGGGATATATAACGACGAGTAAATGCATGGAATAGAGTGAATGGGGCACTACACTCTAATATAAAGAACCAAAATGTGTCAAAAAAGGCACGTATGGTAATTCATAATGCTGTGTTAGTCCCTACTTTAATGTATGGTAGTGAAAGCTGGGTGTAGCAGAAGAAGCACGAAAGTAGAATAAATGCTGTAGAAATGCGGTCTTTAAGGAGTATGCTAGGGTTGAATCTGAATGACAGGATGAGAAATTGCATGATAAGAGATAAATGTGGTATGCAAGATGATGTTGTGACCAGGATTAAGAAAGGAATGCTTCGGTGGTTTGGTCATGTAGAAAGAATGAATGAGGAAAGAGTGACAAAGCAAATTTATATGGCAGATGTGAACGGCCGAGTCGGGAAGGGACGCCCTAGAAAAAAGTTTATCGACCAAATTGGCGATATTTTGAAAAGGGGCCACGTTAGAAGTACCCTTAACGGAAGGGAACTTGAAAAAAAAGGGAAAAAAGTCAAACCTAAGACAAGACGTGAACCAGGGCACTACGATTTCTCGACACAGTCCGATATCCACTTGAGCTATTACGATCATTAATACAGTGTCAAAATTTACCTTCTTATATTGTAGCAGTTTTTTTTGCCTGAAAACACGGAAAAAATTACATTTTCTAAAAAATGATTCCTAGCTAGATCGATTTATTGCCCCCAAAAACCCCTGGACACTAAATCTTATGAAAATCGTTGGAACCGTTTCCGAGATTCCGATTATATATATATAAAGAATTGCTCGTAGGTATAGGATTTATATTTTTGTTTTACTAAAAGCTTTTGTTGAGTGCTTCGAAATTAGGAAATATTATTTTAAAACTTCCTGGTTATTGTCACAAAATAAATCGTGTTATAGATTTGTTGTTATCTCTTGTTTATGAATTATAGTTTCTTACGTGTTGGTTATGAAATGTTCAATTATTGTAATAATTGGTACTGTTACAAATCATCAGTGTTATTACTTTTAAGTGAATAGGCATGTATCAGTATAATTATGTTGCTTGAAATAGGTACTTCTGGTTTGATAAAAAATTCAACAGTGTAATGTAATAAAATAAAGCTGCATTATATAGTAATCAATGTTGACATAATTTATTTCCCAAAATTATAAATCAATTAAATTAGAAGGGGGCCATTAGAGCAATATATTATTTAAAACCAAAAGAGTCACTAAACAAAAATTTAAGGAAATTAATATATTAACTCTGGCCTCTCAATACATTTATGAAAATGTAATGTACGTACACAAAAATAAAAGTAGTTTTGCGAAAATAAGTGATATTCATTCTGTAAATAATAGGAACAGACACAAGCTAGTAGTACCAGTTATTCGACTCCACTGAGTCAGTAATTCATTCTTGGGGCAATGTATACGCTTTTACAACAAAATCCCAGAAAATATACAAAATTTGTCATACACGAAGTTCAAAAATGTTATTAAACTAAGTTTGTATAAAAAGGGTTATTATAATAGTAAGAAATTTATGGATGATAATAACCCCTAGGAAGGGTGATCGCTACCAAGCTATTTCTAATTTGTCTTGTGTTGTTTATTGTAAACATTATTGTAAGCTATTATTGGAAAAAAATAGTCCCGCTGGGTTTCTTTCTGGTTCTTCCCTGGACAGAGGTTTTTTTTGCGAACCAGTGGTAAATGAAAAAAGTGACTTTCAATAAGTATTGTTATAATCTACATTGAATAAAAAAAGTTTCTGTTTCTGTTTCAATTGTTTACGCCAACAAATATAACTTTTATTTTTATACAATCGTACATAGCGTTTTGTAGTTCTGCCTACCCAATCTACACATACAGAAAAATTAAAAACTTGTTTTTTTTTACATACACGCCATCTAGTGTTCTAGCTTCGTAAACGTAGGGTTACGTCTGTGTGTGTAAACAACACTATATTCAATGACAGATGTTATAATCAAACTTTGTGTCGAATTTGGTGGATTTTGAGGCAATGATATGACCCATTCCAATAAAATGTAATATCCGATAACCGCAAAGTCTACTGCTACGACTTAAAAATTTCCAATTACACAAAAACCCAAATAAACTAAAAATGTTGACTTCAGCGCTATCTTGCGGGCGAATGACTGGGAGCAGTCCGTAGGTTTCACCTTAAATGTGCGGTGATGCGTGTAACGGTTGGGCGTTAAAGTGTTAAATAGGCGATGTTGGTGGGTGCATGTTACCTTGAAGCGTTAAAATATTGCGTATATGCGATATCGGTAGGCGCTTGTAACTGTTGGGCGTTAAAATTTTAAATAGGCGATATCGGTGGGTGCGTGTTACTTTTAAGGTATTGAATATGTGATGTCGGTGGGTGCAATGTGCCTTAATCGTTAGAGTACCTAATGGTAGGTTGTGTTGGTAGGTCTGGCGTACGCGTCGCCCGAGTCACCGCTCTCCAAGATGGAGCTGGCTTGGAGCGCGCCGCCGCCGCACGCGCCGCACGCGCCACATCAGCCCTTCCACATCCCGCCGCCCGAAAGGTACGTGCATCTGCCCACGTCGCCATCTGCCCACATCTGCCCACATCTGCCCAAGCGACCCACCTATCTACGTGCCGCACACGCCGCACAAGCCCTTCCACATCCAGCCGCCCGAGAGGTACGTGCATCTGCCCACGTCTGCCCAAGCGACCCACCTGCCTACGTGCCGCACGCGCCGTACCAGCCCTTCCACATCCCGCCGCCTGAGAGGTACGTGCGTCTGCCCACATCTGCCCAAGTGACCCACCTGCCCACGTACCACACGCGCGGTACCAGCCCTTTCACATCCCGCCGCCCTAGAGGTACGTGCATCTGTCCACGTTTGCTCACATCTGCCCAAGTGACCCACCTGCCCACGTGCCGCGCGCGCGGCACCAGCCCTTCCACATCCCGCCGCCGTAGAGGTACGTGCATCTGCCCACGTCTGCTCACATCTGCCCAAGTGACCCACCTGCCCACGTGCCGCACGCGCGGCACCAGCCCTTCCACATCCCGCCGCCCGATAGGTATCTTCATCTGCCCACGTGTGCCCACATCTGCCCAAGCGACCTACCTGCCCACGCGCCGCATCAGCCGAATTAGCCACCATAATTAGCACAGAATTAGTACCAGATCTCTCACACCTTTGTTATTTCATTCATTTTTTAAATAAAATTTTCTTCTACAGATTGCTACCAATCGGACCAAAGCCCAATAAAGAACAGTACCCAGTTTTCAACGCGTTAGTGGATAGAGTGCGGGAGGCATTGAGTTTGCCGCCCGGTAAGGATTTTGATAACTTAATATTGTTAAATTAATTAATATAATATGTCAGAAGTCTATGTTAAGCACTAGACTTTAAATGTGTTTGGTTCCTGTGTTTAACTAATTTTATGGTTACTCTTTAATTCCTAATAAATGTGTTCTTTACACTGTGGTTATTATAATTATCTTTATATGTATAAAATAAAATAGCAGCGTCTTCTGAAGCTATAATGTGGAATTGATTGTTTTTAGTTCTTTAAGACCGTGTAGGTGGCGGTGGCGGCAACGTCTTCCTAATAAGAACTATAAAATTAAAAAAAAACTGCAGCTGCTCCCCCGCCTGCCAAGCGTGATAACTTTGGTAATATGGCTGGTATCCCCCTTATGGGGCAATCCTTACAGGTCAAACGTCACGCTTGATAGGTGGGTTGACGATCACATTACTGTTGACTGCCGTCGATCTGAATATTTCAATGTAATGGTCATACCGCCATCCATCCGAAGCTATGCGATCTTTTCGGCATCTCCCTTACGACACCCTTAGAGGTGACAACGTATATGTATTTTGATTCTTAAACGACGATAGGTAGGTGTAGATGTTTATGGGCAACATTATCCATTTACCGTCACGGAAAATATCTACGGTACGAAACGGGGTTGTGCATTCTCTTACACCGGTCAATTAAAGCCATTAACTGACTTCCAGATGATTCTACAGACAGAACGGACTCAAGTAAGTCTGAAAACGAGCCCACACCTACACCCACCAGTCGGCCGCAGGATTTGACCAAAAAACTGTCCTCTGAAAGTACCAGGTAAGTACATAGGTATAAATTTTGGTACCTCTGCAATGGCCGGGGACTGAAAGTAATGCCAAGGATGTCAATTTACCGATGCGCGTGTCGGTTAGTCCAGATGTTAATAACGTTTTTTCATTTGTTAGAATTTAGTATGTGTGTGAACACAGATGAGTCCAAGCTCAGAATCCGCGAAATGAATTGCTAAGGATTTAGTAATAGGCCTAAAACAATTGTAGAACGAATCCTGGAATTTGTAAAAAAATATATAAAAAGTTACAGCCCTTAAAATGTGGTCCCTCAGTTGCTTAAAAATCAAGTTAATGTGATTACAGATATTTAGTAAAGAATTTGTAAAGCTTATTTAACTAAATAAGACACAAAGTGTTAAAGATAAAAGAAACAAATTTATAAACTGTGATCCCTCAGTTCACTTAATGTTTTTTATACATTAGTGAAAATTTCTTAATTAAATAATTTGTCTCGTAATTTTCTTCCGGTAAAGTTTTAGTAAAAGTCTTAAAAGACTTTGTAAAAAAAGAAATATGGCTAAATATTGGCGCAGTTTTAAAATAGCTACTTTTTAATACAAAAATTCGCGTAAATATAAGAAGTTATTAATTAATTAACTTTACAGCAGATCTCCACGTCGGTTGGCCAGGCAGGTGGCTCAGCTGGGCTCTCCCCCGCCCCTGCTGCCACACGCTCCACAGCATCAACCACAAGCACAGGCACCGGCGCCAGCACAGACACAAGCACAGCAACCACAAGCACAGCAACCACAAGCACAGCAACCACAAGCACAACAACCACAAGCACACACTCCGCGCTCTACCGCACGACCGCACTCCACTGGTAGGTTTTTTACCTCTTGCCACAGATCAACGGTTATATTTTACGGGTTGTGTTTATGTATGTCTTAGTGACTTCCGGTAGCCTAAGCACTACATTTTCGCCGCGACACTAAATGGCGTTGGCTTAAAATACATTCTCACGAACGTGTCAATTTATTAAATAAGAACGAAGTAAAAAATGATTAGGTATTATTTTAATTAATATTGAAATCAGGAGAAGGGGGTAGCCTCTATCTGTGATAACAACAAAAAATTATAAAAAACTGCAATTGCAAACCCATGTGCTAAACGTGGCAACTATGGTAAAATCTCCCATATGAGGCAATGGTGGTAGGTTTATGTTCAGAAGTTAACTTTTATAAGCTGCAGTGGATCGATGGATGGAATGAATATTTATATATTTTATTTTATAGGATAGGGTGACAAACGAGCACACAGTCCAACTAATGGTAAGTGGTTGCTGTGGCCCATAGACATCAACATCTGTCCTCGATTACGAATCAAAACGCAAATGTGTTGTCACCCGTGAGGACTAAGATAAAATGTCTCGTTTCCAGTAAAAAGGGTCTCCGGTTCTCTACACTCACCACAGGAACAGCATTAAGCTACTATTTTACGTTGGTATTCTGTGAGATATTATAGTATATCGTTCGCAGTAATTATTCTATGCAAAGATATTTTGATATTTATTTTTTATAAATATTAGATGTAAGATGTGCGTGTTACTAGTGTTGTAATAATACGGACCTGAGACGTGGTCCTCTATCACTGAATTTATGAGGAAGCTTATGGTCGTTCAGCGAGCTTTGGTGAGGGTTATGCTCAGGGTTTTTCTACGTGATAGTATTTGAAATGAGGAGATCCGCACTAGAGCTAGAATAAGCAATATAGTCCATTGGATAAGTAAGCTGAAGTGATAATAGGTTGTCAATAATATAGCTGCGGCAACCGTTGGAAAATAGTATGTGAAGTGTAGGTTGGAGTTTACCCCACGAGATGGAGTGACAATTTGGTAAGAGATGCATGCAGCGAAAGGCTCAGGTATTCTTTGTGAGAGGCGTATGTTGTTGTATGTTTGTTGGCAGTAGTGGATCTGTGGTGGGCTGTAATGATGATAAAGATGATGATGTGTTGAAATGGTATCATTAAAGAAAACAGTCCCCTTATTTAAGATTATTTATGTGGGTTTTATTTGTCCAAGCGCCCCAATGCAGCGTTTGCAAGTTGTTTGCAAACAATTGAAATTCGGTTGCAAACAGGGGTGAGATTTGGGGACGTATGTGAGTGCGATGTTATTTGTTGTGGCAGAGGCGGGTCGCGGGGGCTGCGGCGGTTGCGGGGGCTGCGGGGCGGGTGCGGCGGGCGCGTGGTGGGGCGGCGAAGCCCGCGCCGCGCGTCGCGCCGCTCACGCACACGCCCCGCACACGCGTCGTGCTGACGCCACGCTCTGCTACCGCTGTAACTACTTGATTTTTAAGTTAACTGTTTTGCAAAACAAAAACAAGCACAGAAGCAATTTTTATTGTTATACTCAATATTATCTAAACTAATTAGTAAATAATAGCTTCAATCAGTTTTATCATTACATTTTGTTTACCTTAAGAAATAATGTTAAAGGTCAAAGTGCCTGCTCGCTAAGTAAAAATAAAACACGTTTTATTGTTTGATTCTTTTCCTTAATAAAGTAAAAGCAGATAAAAGTTTAGTATGGAGAGTGTGTATTAGTATTCCTGCCCAAATTATAACTGAGCCCGCAACATGTAATTGCAACAACATGCAAGGTGTAATTTCTTCCAAATATAGCTTTGCGGAGGAAATCGTTCTCCTCATCTTCGTAGTAATTAGGCTTCATCAGATATCAATACCCTATTCTAGACCGATTCGTAAGTTCGTAACACACAATTTTGAGCGAAGGTTAGCCTGGCAACTCGGTGCTAACTGAATAATTTAGGGACGCAGGCTGGACGATGACTGCATATATTGGCAGCAAGAAGCCTCCTGATCGTCCATAGGCTAATTTTTACATTTATTACTGCTTCGAGGTCGTTTTTAAGGTCCAAATACGAAAATTTACAATTTCTCAACGTTTGATTCATCAGAAAACGGTGCATGGTCTTTTGGATTTTCAAACGACTCACTTAAGCCTCTGAACCATGAAGATATTTTGCTGGCCTTTATCACTTTATCTGCCATTTTCAAGACCGTTGAACATCAATAACAGTAACAATATTTTAAAATTGTCATGGAAATAAGATAATTCAATAAAAATGGACTAAAAGTTATCTAAACTCAATATTAATTTTTCGGAGATCGCACTACAAAATGTACGAAAAACTTTTTTTCTGTAAAAACAAGCCTAAGACCAAAAAATTAATTTGAACATACTCTTTTAAACACCATGGCACTTTTATAACTGGCTAGTAACATGTTCAAAGGCAGGAAAAAAATCAAAACCGCTTGTTTTTTTTTTACAAAAGAATTTATATTGCATACACAGTGGATGGTGAGATTTGGCATAGTTAAAGATTATATTGAGAACTATTTCAAAACTTTAGGAGTCCAAAACTAACGTTTATGTAGAAAGAGATGTTTAACTGAATGCCTCTCTTTATATTACTGTTAAGTTTTCCTAGACAAAAAAAAACAGTTGTAATATTTCAAAATAAAAAATAATCTTTATCATGAATAGAGCTTAATTAAAATGATTGCTTAAATTTGCATATGGGAATCATTTAAAACTTAATTTAAAATCTCGCAGATGTTAAATATGATAATAAAAAAGAAATAATAGATGCACGCAGTAAGCAATATCACATATTACTACTATCTTATTTGCTGGTAAAAAACTCTTTTGCAAAGTTCCCCTTTATACACTTGATATTTTTCATCATAGATTAATTAGAGTGATAGTGTCATTCAAAAATCGGTTCAAAGTTGAAGTAACAACGAAATGAATGTGTGCATTGGCGGCCTATAATTATATAGTTTGCCCACACGCACACAAGCAATTGAGTAATGTTTGCAAGTAAATGACGTTTTTCCCAAAAAAAAAATGGGGAAATTGTAATAGTAGACATAGTGATAGAATTAATATTTAGGTTGCGTCTAGAAGGATTTATTAATTATTTGCAAAGAGCAAAATGTAAAATTACTTATATTTGTTAACTAATGTTTTATTTAAATTGTTTATATACGAATAATATCTGGTGCTATAATCAGTGGCGAAGCTAGAGCTCCAAGCTAGGGCAAGCCCAAGATATAAATTGATAAAAATATAGATTGTTGTTTTTAGCAGTTTTATAAAAATACACCAATCTTGATCTGTCTCCACGCTTCAGTTTCATATTCAGTGCTGTCAAGGACGTGTTTAACAAAGCACACAGAAGGCATACCACTGCGGGATAGATTGTATTACATATCAGCAATTGCATAGCTTCGGTGGCTTTGAAGAAAGCCGTTTGGGTTTGTTTAAGCGAAAGAAAAAAAAATATTTACATCCAATACAATACATGAACAAAAGTAAAACACGAACAAAGTAAAAACAAACCATGTACAAAATTAAAAAAAAAAATATTTACATTCTAATGGATAAGAATAGATAAGATAAGTGGAATCGTCTCGCTTTCTTATGGAAAGATTTAATTACGTCCACGTAAAATGTTGGTGAACGTTTTAATTGTACCAATAACTGTTTTTAATTGCGATAATTGATAAGTCTAAAATACACTCTTAACCTTGTGTATTATCTCAACAAAGTTTAAAGATTTCCTCTCCGATTATCACTTTAACACACTTCAATTCATCACAAGGAACACTATTATCCTCCATTTTCATTAAAAATCTTTAAAAAAGCATAAATTTTGAACTCGTAATATTAAATCGCTTAAGATAAGCACACAGAGTAAATAAACATTAAAACGTGAAATGAACTTGCAAACGTATTGCCCGCGCGCCTCCGCTTTTAACAAATTTATTCCCAAAAGCCTGGCTTTAAATCTCTATACTATATATTATTTATATACGTAATATCTTGTGATATAATATATATTCACGAATCTAATATGTCATTATATTCTTCTGTTAGAAGTGAAATATTTATTTAACTATATAGTATTATATATTTATATAAATATATATACTTTACTGAATAGGAGTTTTGTATTAAAACGAAATAAGATTCGGAAGGAGAAAAGTTTTTCAAATAAAACATTAAACTAAAAATATTTATTAAATAACTATATACCCAAGTACACATTACAATAAATACCTACTTATGCGTGATATCGTAAGTATTTTTACTTGCCAAATAAAAACCAACAATAATAGTCCCATATTGGCAGCATGTAATTACAATAATAAGAAAATATGGGGAAAAATATTTTACTATGCCTAGCAACATTTTTATTATATTGGCGTCTGCCAAATTTACGATTTATTGTTCTGTTTTAATTAATATTTTTTTACGAAAATGTAAGATGCTAGGCAGTGTTGACCCGTGAAACGAGATTTTAAATTTTTTTCGTGTTTATGTGATGAGTTGTGACACCCTTTCACAGCACAGTACGTCACTTTTTCGCAAAATTGCGCGAGCTCTTTACACGACTACGCGGACTCGAGTACTGACGAGCCGAAAGTTGTACGTAGCCTTAAAAGGCTAAGTTGAAATGGCTTCACTTTGCGTTCGCCTACTGCGGTTCTTAGCCTAATAATTCTATGTTTTTTATGTCCAGTAAGAATTAAATAAATGTTATACAGGTGCAGAATGTGGCACTGCAGTTGAACAATACAGCGACGAGGAACTAGGACTGTGTATCATTGTGTTGGCCACGTTTGTGCACCGCGAACCAGCTGCTGCTGCGGGAATGCTGCCAGCTCTGCTCCACAGTGTTAGCAGGTCGGTTATGCAGAACAGAATAAAATAAATATTTAAATAGATCTGTAATTACCGCTGGAATAAGTGTCTGATCAAAACTTCATTTTTAACTTTTTCATCAACATCAATCCATGGTAACGCCAGTTAACAATTTCATTTATAAATAAAATACAAAATACTTGATACATATCTTTAACCCTTCTCTTTCTTAATCCTTCCTACCTTCCTGTATGTACGTACGGCCGTTGAAGGCGTCTCAAGTGTCGCGCCACAGTTAGTTATGATCGAACTACAAATGCGACCGTACGAAGCACATTGCGTTCCTTGAAGAAACTCATGTCACTGGCGCGCCCAATGCGTGAAATACTTCCGTTGGTCATGGATTACTCCCATTATCTGGAAAATTTACTATTACTGTCTTTACGCAGGATAGGAGAATCGACGATTTCATTATTAGTTCACACATCTTTAGCGCCAAAAGTTATATCAAGTTTTACGGTCAATTTTTTAAATGGAATCAAAATTTAAAAAATATAATTGAAAAAATCTAAATTTTGTTATAGTGAAGACTGCACTTTTTAACTTTCAATAATATTAAAGTTTATCAAAAGATCCTTTTTAATGATTTGCTATCAAGCTTTATTAATTCCCAGACGTTCACATCATAGTTTTGATTCAATGTGTACACTTGAGAAATTCTTTTTAGAACCAAAATATTTCCTCTTCTCGAAGACAAACAGAACGTTTAGGATAGTCCACAGCATGCTTTTGTTAGATACTTAACTATAATAAGCAAAGTAAGAGTAAAGCTACAGATTTGAACCTTCTGAAAATCCGAAGGTGAAATTCTAAAACCAATTGGCAAAGAAAATAGAAATATCGGGAATATGTCGTAAATATCTGGAATACATCAAAATGCTAATTGTTAAAAGTAATAATAATAGTTTGAGCACGCATTTTCAACTTGCTCTCCTGCTTACGCAATTAATCATTATCAGCAATAAAACAGCGTACTGCTGTATAAAACTATTATAGAGCAATTACAGTTCGACCATACGGAGGCACAATTATACAGTCGTATAATGTGAGGGACGTAATTATATGATAACACCAAAGTATGCAAATCAACAGCAACACTACTGTAACATAAGGCAGCTTCTCAGCAACACAATCTTCTTTGACTGCATTAGAAGAATTACTACAACACGCAGCACCACGATATTGTCATTAGCAGTATTAGAATGACTTGGCGGAATCTCTCGTGCCTGTTGCCTACAGTGAAATTTATACTGCACAAACGAGTGGGGGGGTTCTCGATATACCTTCAATTCCACCTCGATACCGTCGATATGATGCTCCGCTGGAGTGTTGCAATCTCACGCTCACTCTCGTGATTGCTTGGAAAAATATAATTTACTATAAAATACTAAAAAGATGGCTAAAACGAAATAATTTTTTTATGGTTAATTTCCTATAGCTTTAGCGACGGCTCTGTATTAGTGTGACATGCTGAGAATTGTGAACTGTCATCTGTGGAATGTTCATTTCAGTTCATTCCATAGTCTTGAAGGTTAAGAAAAAAGCTCTTAATCTAACCTTTTAAAGTATGGTGCGATATGAATATGTACGGGTCACATGTCTTCTCTTATTTTTGAGAAGTGGAGTGATTAATCTACCACGCTGCTCCATTTCACATGTCCTCGAAGTATGTTTTCCTTACATATGCAGATTTTCTCAATATATTTTCCTTCAGTGCCGAGCACATGATAAATATATATAATAAGGGTTTAATAACTATAGTTTTACCACGTGTGAAATCCCGTTGAGTTTCAGAAATGGTAATGATGTTGCAGGGTGGTGCAGCTGGGCGCATGGTCATGGCAAGCGGAGCGCAGCGCGCGGCTGCCAGGTGGTGCAATGCTGGTGGCGCAGCAGTTCCTGCGCTGCGTGCTGCATCACCTTGCGCCAAACAACGTCTTTTTGCAGATCTTCCTGCAGCGCACACCTGGTACTGCCTGCTGCACTATATAGCAATACACTAACACCATCCTCATTTACATATAAAATTCATCTTCATCAGCCCGTAAAAATTCGAAATTTGATTAAAGAGGGCTAATAATTTTTCGTTCATCAGAAGTCGCTGAGGTGAAGTTTTTTACTATACAATGTCATGTAATTGAGAAGTTGTGTTTTATCGATTTCTAGAGTATTAAGTAAATTTATAAAACAATGCCTGAGTGGTTTATTCCTTAATGTTTTTCACAGTTTTTAAATATTTTTTTAATGTTTTCGCTTTTAGGGATATTTATTGGTTTTAATATAAAATATAACTAACATTACATAAAGGAACATGAACTATACAACATTTTCCTAAAGTCACTTAGGCAAATTATAAAAAATACTGCCATTTATTGTAAGCTACGGAATATTTCTTACATTTTCTATATTCGCCTCTTACAGCACTCAAGCGATGAAATGGAGTGATGAATTCTCTTACACTGCTACGTGGCATACGGCAATAGCTCGATAATTTAAACTCAAAAGTACGAAATTATACTCTAATAATACACCGTGCTACCAATCTAAAGCAATTTTGATCTTAATTAGTGATATATAAAAAATAACACTGTCATTTTTTTAGCAAAAGAAAGATTAGATGATCGACTACTGGCTACTTGTTTTGATGAGTCCTTTATACAAATTTATCTTACATTTCTCAGAAAACTATAAATTATTCAATACATGTATTGCTCCGCACTGTATAACTCGATTGCTTTGGCTAACTACGTTCATTAATAGTTGTATGCATCTATGACCTGTACTGCACTCTTTTTTCACTCGACAAGTTCGAACATCCTTATTTATGTACTTAAATTCCTTTCAGAAAAGCAACGTCTTATGTTTTTCAAGAGTATAGCCCAAGCATTTGTAGACTTCAATGAACTCTACCCGTGTGGTCCCCTACAGTTAGTCATCGAACACTTGAACTCTAAGAAGACTCTGCCACTTGATGTAAGTAATTTCTTTTTATGTGGATTTTAGTAGTTCTATTTTAGTTATCATTATTATACTGGGTGACGTTTTTTACCGTCTGAAAAATAACATGGTTTTTTGTATAAATGCAATAGAAGCTATCCTCGAAAGCGTATATATATATATATATATATATATATATATATATATATATATATATATATATGAGGCGTGGAGCAGAAGTGCGGTGGTCTTTGAAGAACTACAGACCGATTTCCCTTCTGAGCCGCGTCTACGTGCTGTTTTCGAAAGTCATTACGAATCGTCTCGCACGCAGACTCGACGATTTCCAGCCTCCCGAACAAGCCGGTTTCCGAAAAGGCTTCAGTACCATAGATCACATACATACCCTGCGGCAGATTGTACAGAAGACCGAAGAACTACAATCTGCCACTTTGCCTGGCGTATGTGGACTATGAGAAAGCCTTTGATTTCGTCGAAATTTGGGCGGTGCTACAGTCCCTTCAGCGGTGCCAAGTTGACTGTCGGTATATCGAGGTGCTGAAGTGTTTGTACAGTAGGGCTACGATGGCTATCCGAGTACAGAACCAGAGTTCGAAACCTATCCAACTGCAGAGAGGTGTAAGACAGGGTGACGTTATATCCCCGAAACTCTTCACCGCTGCGTTGGAAGACGTTTTCAAGCTACTGGACTGGAAAGGATACGGTATTAACATCAATGGCGAGTACATCACTCACCTTCGATTTGCCGACGATATAGTCCTTATGACAGAATCGCTGGAGGACCTTAGCACTATGCTCAATGACCTCAATGGTGTCTCCCAACGGATAGGTCTTAAGATGAACATGGACAAAACAAAGATTATGTTCAATGTCCATGTCACACCTATGCCGGTAGTTGTGGGGAGCACTATGCTCGAAGTACATACTTTACCTGGGACAAATAGTCCGACTAGGTAAGTCCAACTTCGACCGAGAGGTCAATCGACGGATTCAACTCGGTTGGGCAGCGTTCGGGAAATTACGACACATCATCACGTCAGCTAAACCTCAATCTCAGAAAACTAAACTGTATAACCAGAGCGTCTTGCTAGTGATGACTTACGGATCAGAGACGTGGTCCTTCACTGCTAGCCGTATAAGGGCGCTCAAGGTCTCTCAGCGAGCTATGGAGATGGCTATGCTCGGAGTTTCTCTGCGTGATAGACTCAGAAATGAGCATATCCGCAGTAAAACCAGAGTGACCGACGTAGCCCAACGGATTAGTAAGCTGACGTGGCAGTGGGCCGGCCATATAGCTCGAAGAACCGATAACCATGATGGGGAAGAAAGGTTCTCGACTGGCAGCCTCATACCGGCAAGCGTAATGTAGGGCGTCCCCCCAATAGATGGAGTGACGATCTGGTAAAAAATGCAGGAAGTCGATGGATGCAGGTGGCTCAGGACCGTGCTTTGTGGCATTACTTGGGGGAGGCCTATGTTCAGCAGTGGACTTGTGAAGGGCTGTAATGACGATGATGATGATGATGGTATATATATATATATAATATTACTACTACTTTCGAGGATAGGCTTTTGCGTAAAATTCAAAATAGGTGATATTAATTTAAACGCCGTAGGCTACAATTGCTAGTGATTAAATCGTTTTGTTGGCGTCATCGTCATCGTTGCAGCCAACAACTTGAATCAGCCGTATTCAAAAAGACCTAGCTGCAATACTTGCCTTCGTAACAATTGAAACTAAGTGTTTTTTGATACGGCGCCATTCACAAATTCAGTTTACTGACTTTCAGACGGATTGACATTACGATACAATGACTCAAATGGCTGACAATTCCTAGCCTGATTACACGCCGACTAGTTCCACTTTCTCTACGGCAAAATTTCTAGCCACAAGGCAAAAGTGCCAGTGTATGTTGCGTTATTAAAGACAACCCGCAGCATATGTTCGTTTTATAATGAATGACACTTAAAATTCAGCATTATCAGCCGCATTGTAGAAGCTGATACATTAGGTACATGATGTGCATTACGACGTGCATTAAATACGTCTTATTTCTTATTTGGCTGTGAGATATATTTGTGCCGATCGACTGCAGCCGAAGCCACTCCCACCGAAACCGAAAACTATTAATTTCAGAATTTCACATTATTATTTTTGTGATTTAAATCTTTCCTTCATCCTTATATGGAATTGGGACCGTATAATTACTGAATAGAGTTACATGTTAAATTTTCATTATTTATCATCTTGCATTGTAATGAATTCATAAACTGTTTCTATTAATAATTTTTATGACTACCATATACTGCAACATCTATATTCAAAATATCATCATAGGCCTATTCAAAAGATCGAAATGAACTTAATTACAAACTAGACTGATTGATATTTACAAAATTATACTACATTATTGTTATTTACAAATACAAACCTTTTTAGCGATATCGCAGTAATAGTTCAAAATTGAAAAAGAAAGAAACAGTAGACTTCTAAACTTCTTTCTAAACACAAAATAGCATGTCTCTGTAAATTTTTTGTAAAATTTCGATGCGTGTATCTATCATTTTAATATTATATGCTGCTTTAAATCACTAATAATTTATGCTTCTTGTGTGTACACTAATCGTTTGAATTCGGCCCACAAATAAAAATGTAGAGGTGTTAGGCAAACTTCTACTGAGAGGTCAATTGACGAATTCAACTCGGCTGGGAGCGTTCGGGAAATTGTGACACATCTTCTCGTCAGGTATACCTTAAAACTTGAAAACGAGATTGTACAACAAGTGCGTGTTGCCAGTGATGACTTATGGATCTGAGACTTGGTTCTTTAATGCTGGTCATATGAGGACGCTCAAGGTTGCTCAGCGAGCTATGAAGAGGGCTATGCTCGGGGTTTCTGCTGCTTGATAAACTTAGAGATGAGGATATCTGCAGTAGAACCAGAGTGGCCGACATAGCTCAATGGATTATTAAGCTGAAGTGGCAATCGGCCGGTTATATAGCTCGAAGAATTGACAACCGATGGGATAAAAAGGTTCTCGAGTGGCAGCCTAGTGGTGGAGCCACAAGCCGTGGTTTATTCGGGGATATATGTAGAGTGTCTATAGACCATAATATGCATTTGTTATCAGATACAGAACTGAGTGGTTGTTTATTTACTCGTTACGATACTAAATAGAAATATTATTTTAAGGAATACGTGAAGTAGGATGACAACAATTGTTTTGTTTATTTAGAAACAAAATGTCAGGTATTGGTTTTTTTCTATTAGATAACGTATTAAACGTTATCGTTGTTTAATGTCTAAGGAATGATCACGAAATTTACTTTAAATGTGTGGTTTCGGCCTGGGGGATATCATCAAAATCGCTATTTTTTATCTCATGGCAGTCGTAAGATGCGACTTAAAAAAAACTCAGAAGAACTTCTTAGATGGTAGTTCATATATCTAGTGTAACGCAAAGGGAATAGGAAAGCCTATTCTTTTTTAAAAGGCCGGCAACACACCTGCAATTTCCCTGGTGTTGCAGTTGTTCATAGACGGCAGTAGTCACTTACCATCGCATGAGAAGCATGCTCGTTTGCCTACCTCTTAAAAATATTTCTATTATATTTAATATATAATATTATTATTTTTGAAAATTAAAAATATTATCACACAATTTTTTCAATTAAGATAAAGTATAAATAAATGAATAAATAATACCTTCTTTAAAATCGTTTTGATTTGAAACTCGATGAAAAATAAGCAACACTAAAAAGAGATAAACATATACATCTATAGGATTAAGCCTGCGAGAGCATGAGATAGAATACAGTACACAGTGTTTCCAATTATCTCAGTCTCCTCTTAGTGCGGTGTCTTGTAGCATCCCGACTCTTACACTCTCACACTTAAGTAATAGACCTACTTACTAACGTCTATGATGAGCTTATGCATACACGTTATTTATGAAACGTACTTCTAGATCCATAATATAATCCAACTTCATGTCCCTTGTACACAAACCTTTCTGGTGGATAATACGAAAATAATATTTTACCCAAGAAATTCTGTAACAAAATTGTTGGAATTTTGTGTGCAAAACTACGCTATGTTCGAAAATCCGCCAAAAAGGCGTTATCGTCTTGTATCTTATAAAAAAAAACGAACTCAACCTTAGACCTGGTGTGGTTGCAGCAACTGCCAACGATAGCGAGCAACATCGCTATGTACCTCGAGTGTCTGGCGCCGGAGGCTCTAGGACCAGCCAGTGCGTGCGGCGCGCTGCTAAGCGCGTTCGAGCAGCTACTGCGAGGCGCCGCGCTGCGCCTGCCGCAGCTGGACGACGCGCGCCCGCTGCTGCGCGCTGCCGCCGCAGCGCTTCGCCTGCCGCACGCACACCAGCACAAGGTACAACGTGCAACTGCTGCGCGCCTGCTGCTCGCGCTCAGCCTTTCGAGAATCTGGCTACCTTCCTAGACTTAAAAATAAGTCTACTTGTCATTTGTATTCCAATCAATATTCAATGGTCAATTCCAATTGCCCGCAATAGCAATATGTACTTCTTCTAACCAGTCTATTATAGTCTGTGGTAAATTTCATAATTTTGTTTTTAATGTGTCAACATTAGCGTCCTCTATTAGTTACTATAATGTCATTCATAACGTCGCTTGATTTTATTCCGCAACATGTTAAATTCTTTTGTTAATTTTGTTAGTAATACATTTACTTAATATGACTACTGGCCTAATTTGTTAACATCCACCTCTCAAACACCATCGTTTCTGGATTCGTTAGACTACTCAATATCCTCCAACTTTTTCACATAGTGTGATAAGAGTTCCTAATTTGTCCATATTCTAACTTCTAAGAGTTAAGGGAGCCTATATTTTTTTCCGATTGTTTAATGGAAAAAAAATAGGGAATGAAGTGTTAAGTTTAGACGATAATCTAGTTGTTAGCTTTAGCTTGCGATATTCTTTAGTCTCTCGAAAGGGCAAATAAATATACTTACAATCAAAATTAAAATTGACATAAAAGAACTAAAAATAATAAAATAATTTCTACACTTTTAAAGCTCATGAAATCAGGTGCTGAAATCATGCCTTAACTCTTCCAATCTCTATCTCTTAGAAGAAGAGCTATTATGTGCAATTTTATTTAATTCTTTTTAGTTCTTTAAGGTTGGTTTTTTCATTTTTGTCAAAAGCTTATTTTAACTGTCCTATATTTCTATTGTTAATAACATCGTTCACCTTAAGTACTATATACATTCGTCACAATATTGCTCAAACAATATTGCAATTAACTTACCAATTGTTTCTTTGGCAGAGCATCCTGGAGCCAATTTCAAAAATCTTGAGTTACTCGATCCAAAACTTCGTGGTGCGGCTGTCGCTAGTGACAGAGCTGAGTGTAGCATGTGTACGTGCGTTTGGGCGTGACCGGGACAAGTTGCTGCTGTGCCGCGTGCTGGTGTTTGAACTAGTGCAGGCGCTGCGCACAAAGACCACCGTCCCCGATGATAATCTCTTCATGCTCATACAGTTCGTGTTACAAGGTGAGACAGTCGTTATTTCTCAAATGTCCAGAGTTCAGTGTCCATTATCCAATATCCAGTCTAATACCAAACGTTTAGCATGTAAAATATTGTTGCGCGCTTAAGTTGATGTCTGGTACCTGGCACTAGCGCCATCTAGTGTTGGGGAACAGAGCGAGGAGGGCTTCCTAGAAAATGCCAATCTTGAACTTTCCACCAACAGCGCCATCTAGTATCGAACAGAAGAATTAAGTTTTCTAGGAAGCCCCACACTCGAACTTTCTGGTCGGTCGGCGCCCGTATTTGCTGGAATATTCGGAATGAAATTGAAATGAAATTGAAATGAAATTGAAATGAAATTGAAATGAAATTGAAATTGAAATTAAATAGGAATGTTTCGCTGGAAGAGCCCTATATAAAGCTGTTGATAGCCGCGATCGGGGCAGTATTGAATTTGGTCAGACAAGCAAAGCTTCGGAGCGAAATAAAGTGAATCAGTGTGATTAATTACTAGTATGTTTTAAGTTTTAATTGGTGTTCGGGAAATAAGTTAGTAATGTTTTACTACACCCTAAGCTCGTAACAATATGTTGCAACGAATTTTTCGAAATGATTTATTTTTTATGTTTATAATTTTTTGTATCAACGGTAACAAAGGGCGAATTTTATGAAAGACAGTATTTTCTGGTAGTCAACCCGTGGTGAAAAAAATGTTTTTTTTTTTTATATAGAATAAGGGTGACAACTCGATTAAAAATCAAAACGCAGGTGCCTTGTCACCCCTGAGGAATAAGACGGAATGCCTCGCAAAGAGTAAAAAAGGGTCTCCGACTCTCACCATACGAAACAAAATAGTATTAAGCTGCTATTTTACGCTGGCAGGTTCATTAATATTATTATGTAAAATAACTTAAAAACTAGTGCGTTTGGCAACTTATAGACGGGTATACGAGTTCGCGTCACCAACATCTTGTAATCGCAGTATATAAGTTTACTAGCAGTACTCTCTTTTTCAGTTTCTCGGCTTTTATTATGTAAGATTGCAGTGAAGTTAAATCGGCTAAGATAATTATTTTTAATTAATTTTTCTTCACCGTTTGCCTATATTACTTATTCTGAACCTTCTGTGCAAATTTAGTCGGTTATTGCAAAATAATCCTGTATATAAGTGTTGCTCAGATTAATCATGGATTTAAAAACTAGACTAATCCTAATTTTTTGAATTTACAAATAATGAAATTGTAATTTATGATATTACAATTAATTTGAAAATCCAAAAAACACTGTTCTATTACATATTATAATAGTAGATATTTAACACTCGGTTTTGGGTCAACATTCTACATTAAATCAATAGCTTTGAGGTTTGTAATCGGTCTACGAGCTAGAGATCCGGGTCACACGGACGGAAAGCAGAGTGATATTAATAGTTGTTTCACTTTTTCCGTAGGGAAGGTTCAAAGAATGGTTTTACATTCAATTATTGTTAAAGGTCGCGGCTGTACGCTGCTGCTGCCACCGGCGCTCGGCGGAGAGTGGGGTACGGGCGGTGCGGGGGGCGCGAGTGGTGTGGGTGTCGCGGGGGGTGCGGGGGCCACAAGCTCACTGAGCGCAGATGCGCGTGAGCTGGCAGCGGGTGCAGTAGAGTGCATGCGACCGCACCTGCCTGATCTTCTGGAACTACTGCACGACCCGCAGCTGCTCAACAAGATCAAGGTACACCTGGACACAGGCCCCTATGTTAGTTCTTAGCGAATTAATTTATGTGAATTTCGAATGGTTTTTAAATATAAATGTAGATTTAGTTTGATTACAACTGTATTCAGGTTTGAAAACAAATGCAAACAAAATACAATATAGTACAACAATATAATGAATGCATTCATGGATAGGAACAAAATGAAAATGTCTATATAACAAAATGGAATTTTATAGAAATTAGTTAATTCTTCCAGACAATAGATGGCGCTGTAACATCCTATAACGGAGAAATTTTAAATATAATTTTCTTAATCAGTTAGTGTATGAGTATTGAAAAAACTTACTCCAGCCGATCACAAGTTCATTGCTGAACATAGACCTCCCCCATAGATTGCTACAAAGTACGGTTGATAAAAAAACTGCGGTTGCCAATCTACTTACCAAGCATGGCAACTTGTTTACACATATCAAAAAAGTTTGCAATCGCTAAAAAAACCTGATATATTTTTTAAAAAGTGTTTACGGTATATATTGATTTAAATAGAAGTACACTGTTTGAAATTAAAAAAAATTAAACCCGTTTTTATTTTTTTAAAGCAAATATTGAGTAATTCAATTCTAATGATTGCTTCCTCAAACTTACAAAATAATTTATAAATAGAAGGTTTTTAATTTAATACAATATACATAATTCCTCCCTTGGAATTCAACCAGTGGCGAAGCCTGTATAGAAGCCCAGAAACCCGGCTTACCTTATCAAGCTGAATCAATCAATAATATCAAGTAATAAATAATTCGTAAACTGTTTTAAACTATTTCAAATTTCCCGCGCGCTCTGTTCGACCTCGTAGCCTTAGGAATACTGCTGTCATAGGTACATATAAGAAAAGTTGAATTGAGCGAATCGTTGTCTCCCTTGCACGCGTGGGCTTTTTACCGGGCTTTCGAGAAGACGATCGCTCCCTTTCTAACCTGTGGCGAAATGTTCTCTAATGAAATATTACTACGATATGTTTATATAGCAATTACTATTGAGCCACAAGCCTGGCTTTGCCCTGAAGTTGTTTAGGAGTGCGTTAGCGACTAGCGAATGGGGTGCGGGCCATATATGCGGCGTTTTTGTTGTAAGTGGGAGTTGTGTTTTTGTCTCTACGAAGTCTTAGATTATATTAATTTCTCTTTCTAGGGTTCCGTATCAAAATCCATAGTCAATCGAAACTTGATCTGCTTAAATGAGGACACGTTGGGCGCAATCGTAAAAGGTGGTATAGCGCAGTATGTAGCCATGGAATTAGCCCTGGAGCAAAGTCGGGGCAAGCAGGACCGCAGCGGACAAGTGAGCAGACATATGTTGCCGTGGCTTACGTCGTCCCTACCTGGGTGAGTTAAATTAAATCTAATTTCAATTAAGTCTAGACATCTGTGTCGGAAAAATTACAGTACTCGAGTGTGTGCACAAGCATTCATTATTCCCTTACTATCATAGTGTTACCGGACGGACACACGACCAGAGAGAAAGCACAGGACCAACGATTTCATGTGCTTTTTGAGGCTTGGAGTGAAAAACTACCAATTTTCTGACCTTGGGCTGCAACTGAGAATTTCATGACATAAAAAGCTAATAACTGATTTTGGCCCGACCCGAGATCTAAACCCGGAACCCCATAATCAACATTCGCGCTTATCACAGCTATGAGGCAGCAGCATTAAAATTTTCTAAATCCATATACAACAGAGCCCTTATTAGGGGATTTCTTCATCAGCCCGTAAAGGTATTGTGCTGGACGTGGCTCTCTCTCGCGGGAGGGTGAATTTGCCATAACCGTCATGCTTGGCAAACAGATTGACGATAGCAGTACCAGACATGTTGCTGCTTTGAATTGATAGACCTATGTCTAATACTGAATTATTACGAACTGGTAAAAAAGGAGAGGAAGAAAAAGGAGTCTGTTGTACGATGTATTTTATTGACGAATAATCATTATCCGCCGTGTAGTGGAGGAGAACTCGCTGTCTCATATCATTCCTTGGCTAACAAAGGAGACAGAGGAAAACTGAAGAAAGAGAAGACGGGTAGCAGCATCCTCATGATAACTGCAGTTGCCAACCTGCTTGTCAAGCGTTGCAACTACGGCGATTCAATACTGCAATTGCCATGTGAGGCCATCTATGGACAGGTCTTTGTTAAGTAATGGACTTAGGTTACATGGGCTGTGATGATGATGATTAAAGATGTGTCAACCGTGTACCAGGCGCGTCAACTTTGGCAAAGAACAAAAACATGAAATTACTTCCATACTACATCAAAACATAGCAGGTTTGCTTAACAAAATTGATTCGATAGAACTATGTATTGATTAATTAACAAATGATGGGCAAGAAATAAACTTTTTATGTTTTAGTGAAACATTTGTTAAAAAGGGAGATGAGAGTAACATTCAGTTTAAAAAAATTTAAATTAGCTTCATTATATTGTAGAACAAAAGAAAAACGTGGAGGTGTATGTATTCTTATTAGAAAGTCAATAGAATTTAAAGTTATACAATTATGCTATGAATTATCAGCAGACAAAATTTTTGAGTGTTGCGGAATAGAGGTACCAAGTTACAAATGTGTAATTTTTTGTGTATATAGAACTCCCAATTCGCCTGTATCAATATTTTTCAACAAACTAGATCTTCTTTTTCATAAATTAGCATTTAAGCTTAACAAAAAGAAAGTCATATTGTGTGGTGACTTTAATATTGACACACTTAAGAATAATAACGTCACTCATGACTTAAAAAATTTGTTATACAGCTACAACCTTAAACTACATAATGATAAACCTACGAGACATCACACATGTATTGATCATATAGCTAGCAATTTCAAAGAGTCTGATATTTCTACTTCCCTGTACAATTTTCATTTATCAGATCATTACACCTGTCAATCTCTAAGTTTTCCAATTAAACTGCTACCTAAAATTAAATACTGGTATACTACGAAAAGAAATTACTCTAAGGAAAATATTGATAAGTTTCGTAAATGCATTCAAAATATATCGTGGGAAAAAGAAACTACAGATGACATTTTTAATAATATTTTAATAAATTTCATGACTTAATTTGTTTATTATATGACCTCTGTTTTCCATTACAAAAATATAAAATCAAAACAGACAATTTCGCTCCAAAGTGGATCACAAAAGGTATAAGGGTTGCAAGTAAAACTAAAAGAAAACTAAAACATAAATATTACAAAACAAAAAAGTTTAGAAAACAAATTAATCTATAACAAATATTCAAAATTATTAAAAAGTTGCGTAACATGGTCGAAAAAAAATTTAAACATGAAACACCTGTTACATTCAAAAAGTAAAAGTAAAGCTACCTGGGAAATCATTAAAAATTATGAATATAATGATACACAAAATAATAATATTGACTGGATTAATTGTAATGGAACTAAAATAGATCATCCTTTCATCATTGCCAGTAAATTTAATGAGTATTTTATTAGTACAGCTCTTCACGACCGTTCTTCTTTAAATAATAAAACTAAAAGGAATATGTATGAAAATGTTCAATCATCGATCTTCTTAAAACCTTGCTCATTAAATGAAATCATAATTATAATAAATTCTCTTAATAATACTAAATCCGTTGGTTATGATTCTATTACTACACATATACTGAAATCATGTGTGAAGGAATTTGCACCAATTCTGACGTATTTAATAAACCTTTCTTTCATACATGGAAGATTTCCAGATAAATTAAAAACATCTATAGTCAAACCCTTATTTAAAAACGATGACCGTCATGAGATTCATAACTATAGGCCGATTACGTTGATACCCATTCTATCCAAAATATTTGAAAAAGCCATGCATAGTCGAATTATTAGTTTTGTAGCAAAATATAATATACCCAGAAACGAACAAAATGGCTTTCAAAAAAGATAAATCTACTACACTTGCTACCTTTTCACTGATACGTCGAATAACTGAATTTATTAATGATGGAGTACCAACAGTAGGCATCTTTTTTGATATGTCTAAAGCCTTTGACTGTGTAGAACACAGTAAGTTGTTGTACAAATGTGAAAAACTAGGAATCAGAGGACCGGCTTTGGAATGGATCGAAAGTTATTTGAAAAATCGGAAACAATGTGTTGAAGTATCACGTATTAATAATAAACTAGAGTTAACATATTACAGATCTCCTTATCTACAAAATGACTATGGGGCACCTCAAGGGAGTGTGTTAGGCCCTTTATTGTTCATTTTATACATAAACGACTTACCGAGTATAACAAATCATCAGTCAATACTATTTGCTGATGATATATCAATTGTTATACCCCACACTAATAAGTCACAAATATATGAACAAGAAATAAATTTTACTGTAGAGTCTGTTATATCATGGCTAGAAGATAATAATTTAAGAGTCAACACTAACAAAACTAAATATATTCAATTTGGAAATTATAAATCAAAACCAAAAAAATTGGATTTAAGATATAAGGACGAAAGATTAGTAGAGGCAGTAGATACACAATTCCTAGGTGTTACTATTGACCGGTACGTAAATTGGAAATTACACGTACAAAAAGTATGCAAAAAGGTTAATCAATTTGTTTATGCACTGCGTAAACTTCAAAATGTAGCAGGTCCACAAGCAGCACGTATTGCTTACTACGGGTACGTTGAATCCGTCTTAAGATATGGACTACTCTTGTGGGGCAACTCAACTGACGCAAACAAAGCCTTCCTAAGTCAGAAGAAATGTATTCGTGCACTGTGTAATGTAGACCCTCATGAAATCTGTAGACTCCTGTTCAAGGAAAAAAGAATTCTCACTTTAACTGGATTATATATATTAGAAATCTGTGTTTTCATTAAAAATAATTCTAATCAATTCGTTACCGCGCAGGAAAATAATAACTCCCTAGCAAAAAGAGATCCGACACGTCTACTCATGCCATCTTGTAAAACTGCATTATACCAGAGGAATTGCCTCATAATGTGTATCAAAGTTTATAATAAAGTTCCTAAAAATATTCGTGAACAGCCATTAAGGCGAATGAAAAAAAGTTTAAAGCAGTGGCTAATAAATACTGCCTTTTATAATATCAAAGAATTCTTTAACCATAAATTTTGATTTTATTTTTATTGATTTTGCTTAAATAAGTAAATTACTATAGATAGATCCAGGACTTTGCGTGATACTTCTCAAATGAACAAAAATTAATTTTTCTATTTTTGTTATGTTTTCCTAAAAACATAAATATCAATTGTTTTTGAAAGAAAAAGAAAATTTATAAAAGTGATTATTTCTAATTTTATTTTATTTTTTTTTAATTTTAATTTGTTTTTTAACATATTTATTTTAAACAATTTTTACGCATGCCACAAAAGGCAAAACATGTGGAAACAAATATTGACTCTGTATCCATCCGTCTGTACCCATGTTTTAGCGAAATAAATGATTTGATTTGATTTGAAAGTCCCCCATATGAAGTAATCTATGTGGAAGCCTAACAGTGGACTTTTATAGGCTGTAATGCATGGATGGTGATGGATTCATCCCATCGATAATAATCTGTTATAGACCACTGCTGAAAATGTCCTCCCCCCACCCTATAGATTGTCTTATAAGATGAATATCGCTACAGTGGTCACGCTTGGTGTAGAAAAACACTCCTGGTGTTGCAACTGCATTTTTTATTATTTAATGTTGTTATAAGGAAGATGCTGCTGCCCATCACCTATTTGATTCTGTCACCTGTTACGTCGGTGTCCCACGGGACGGTGTGATTACCATGTTTATCAAAGTGGACCGCAAAGTGAGTCCTGATTGTCGTTGGCTACAGTTCGCGGGAGCTGTGCGAGTGCGTGGGGCGCGTGCGGCAGGTGTGCTGGGTGGTGCTGGGCGCGCTGTGCAACGCGCCGCCGCTGCACCAGCCCGTGCCGCCCGACCTCACCTGCCACCTCATTGACCACGTGCAGGTGCACACACCTGCACACGCGTGCACACAACTACACACACCTACATACGTGCACACACGTGAACACACATGCACACACATGAACATGCATAAATACATTAGACTTGCAACATGCAATGCATGCATTCGGTTTTTTAGAATGTTTTGAGCCTGGTGTTTCAGACCAGATCTTGAGTGATTTATTGTAATTAAGAGTTTCAAGGTTGAATCGAACTCGGCTTCTTGAGATTCCACAAAATGGCTCAGGTCCAAATCGTATACTCTGAGCCCTCCCGTGCAAGTTTGTTTTCTACATTCATTGCCTACAATACCCGCGTGACCCGGAACCCATCTTAAGACCACCCTGTTGTTACATCCCAGGGCGTTTCAACGGTTCACGTTCATAAATTCCAGTTAGCATATACTGGTTTAAGCAACCTGTGCTGGTGATTTCATATTAATTTGAAAGATAGTAAATATATAAGATATATTTTCTCTTATATATATATATATATATATATATATATATATATATAAAAAAAAAAAAAAAAAAAAAAAAAAAAACCACTTGTTATAACCATTTGTTATAACTTTGATGTTCAAATTATAAATATTTTTAATTCAAAATTTCCAAATTATTTTGAACAACCCATGAAATTGAAAGGGGTAATGGATTATTTTACAGCACCATACCCATTTTAAGATTTAACGATTGAAGTCATTTATTATTTTATGTGTTCAGTTTAAGTATCTAATTATTATTAATTTTTATTTTTGGTTTCAATTTAAATCAACAGCTGCACATGTGCACTTCATATGCATCTAATAATGCACCAGATGATAATAGTTACTAGGGAAGTTAACCTAAGGCGCTATTAATGCTGAATTTTGGTTAGGAGATTAGCCATCTGCGCAGGATAAGATGATAGTGTCCGAATGTGTGCGTAAGCACAGGTGAATACTCTTCCCTCATTCTCAGAGTCTTATGCGACGGCAATCCAACACGATTGGCGAAAAATCGGGTGCAAGATGAACGACTTTACATGCTTTTCAACTTGGGGAAGTGAAACATTGCCAAAATCCTGTTACTCAGAATTTCTTGACAGGAAAACTCAATAACCAACGTTTTATTGATGTAAATGTGATGTCTGTAGCAATTGGGCTGTGTGCTCGTTTGAAGTACTCAATTTTCACTTTTATATAGGTAAAAGTTTTGAGAGTGTTCATAAAATGAGTAAGTGGTGTCCGCAGACGATAATGTCATCGTACGTGGAGCAAAAGGGCGGTATGCAGCGCATGAACGCGCTGTTCCACGCGTTCCTGCTGTGCCATCTGTGGACGCTGTACCTGGAAGCGCTGGGTGAGCCGCCGGGCGCTGGTCTGCTGCTGGACTTCTGGTGCAAGCTGCTGCCCGCCATGCTGCAGGTCGCCGCACAGTCCAGGCTGGTGAGTGCGTGCAGCTGTACAGTTGTGTATAGGTGTCAGCTAACTACAGGTTGCGTCGCTCACAAAAAAGCAGGTTCAGACACGAACACAAGCACAAAAAGAGGATAACTAAAATGGATGAGGCTCATACACCTGGGAAATAACAAGTACTGCATGCATCTCTCAATATTCGTTCTTCTCTCCTGCCTGTTATTCGAACTATTGTGCAAGCTAATTAATTCCTAGTGCTAATGCATCCTAGTGCATATTTTTATTCACCAGTCTACAAAAGTCAACTGCTTAACATGGACTTCTCCATTGAAGGAAAAAAAAATCTTAATCATTACTTACATTGCAGCTCGAGAAGTTAGCTCTTTTGACACTCCTCTTGGTGTAGATATTTTATATTTAAATTAAATTGGAAACTGATATCGTCATTTATCGGATGCCACGATAGAAGGAGAATAAGGTTAAAATAATTGTTCTAAATCATATCTCTTGCAGCGAACTTTTACGATAAAATGAACAATACAGTCTATAAAAATCCACTCTTAAACAGGAATCCATTTAGTTTGCCTCATTGAGGGATTTTGAATAATACAAAAGTTGTGCAGCAGCAACTACTTAATAACATCTGAAAATAATAAAAGACTGCGGTCGCGAAGCCGCCTCAATAGCTTGGATTGGAAGATTAATTAATTTTGTGTCAATCGGTTTGCAGCTTGCAGAAACGGTGAATCTTCATTTCCTGAGCCTGCTGGAGTCTCTGCTAGAATGCAACTCGACAGTCTTAAATAAGCTACTGCCGCTCTGGACACCCATTTTGCACTCGCCATCGTTCACAGTAAGTTGAACTTATATTGTTAAGTAATTGGAATTAGTTACTGAAGTAGTGGCGAAGCCTCCATAGAAGCCGAAAAGCCAGGCTTGCCTTTTCAATCTGCTCAATCAATCATCATCATCATCATCATCATTACAGCCCTTCACAAGTCCACTGCTGAACATAGGCCTCCCCCAAGTAATGCCACAAAGCACGGTCCTGAGCTACCTGCATCCATCGACTTCCTGCATATCTTACCAGGTCGTCACTCCATCTAGTGGGGGGTCGCCCTACACTACGCCTATCTCTCAATCAATAATATTAACTAATAAAATAACTCTTAAAATGTTTCAAACTATTTCAAATTTCCCGCGCGCTCCTCTTTTCTTTTCCAATGTGCATATATGACCTCGTAGTATACATGTACATTGGAAAAGAAGGCAACGAAAAGACAGAAAAACTCGCAAATAAAACAGCGCTGTACAATAAAGCAAAAACTCATTATAATCATACCTGAAAACGGAAATTAGACAAAACTACTATGTTCTTTTTTTATTCACCTATATAAACGTAGTAAGTGTATATAGGTGAATAAAAAAAGAACATTGACACCAACACTAATTTTGACTAAAAGCAATGAATAATTGAATAAAGACGAATGCCATAAATGAAAAAAAATATAGTATTAATGCCAATAATTATTAATGACAAATAAATAAAACTAAACAAAAAATACAAAAAGAAAATATTATAAAAGGTATCTGAAATCCATGTCAAACGAAAACCAGTATGTACATAAAAAATAATTTGACTCACGCCACTTGTTCAATGTATTAATTAATCCAATTAATCTCTTTATATCCGGCTCGAAGGAGACCGAGTAAAATAAGGTATAGACTGAGTTAAATAAAGTAAGGCTCGTAGAGCATTATCCCATAATTTGAAATAATAAAAGATATTTTTCTGGTAAAGGACTATAGGAGCCAAAGATACAATGGGTAAGCAGATAGTACAAACTATAGTATATACGTGGAATGTTATATCTAAAATCTGTTAGTATCTTAGGTGTGTGGTTGCTAATAAAATGCATCAGGCGCTTAATGTTCCGTATGGTGATTGTAGAGAAGCAGAGAAAAATACTCATTGTCATCATTATTATAACTTTTATAAAGTCCACGGTTGAAGAAAAGCGGATCCCCTAGATTGCCTCCGTTATCGTTACAGCGTATGAAAGTCCATTGTTGATTATATGCCTCCTCCATAGAGTGCTTCGTAGAGGGAATTTCTAACATAGACTTTTGATAAGCGGGTTGGCAACTGCAGTTTTTCATTTTTAGTCATTAATAGGAAGATGCTGCTGCCCATTTACTGATTTGTTTCAGTAGTGGATACTCTTATATTATTATTACCCGCGTTGCAAATACCCTTTGCCATGGTTACGACACTTGGCAGGGGGGTTGAAAACCGAATTTTTATTATTGCATTGAGGAGTAATTACAAAGAGGTTGCTTTTTATATCAATAAAAATATTAAATAAAAGGCATTTAATTGCCATTAAAAATTGTTAATAAAAAATAGATAGCTTAATAATTAGTGACAAAACAGCCTGTGAGTCAGGTGTAACGGGAAGCTCGTTACTCCTGCTATTCTGCCATAGCCTTTGCGTATTAAACAAGTATTTTGAAATAAAACTCACCATAAATTAATTAAAACAATAAACAAATAAAATTACAGATATAAACATTTACATTAATTTGAGAGCGTATCAGAGCCACAGATCACATGGAATCAACCACTTGTGGCATCTTTGCCGGGTGGTAGACGAAGATTGGGTAGATCGGACTGGTGGTGGCAAATCGTTATAGATTTTCTGTGTATATTTGTCTGTCGCGCAAATCATGGAGGCTATATGTGTGGTTTGCGGTGCAGATGGCGAGCCACGTGGCGCAGCGGCTGCAGGCGTGCGTGGAGGCGGGGCCGGAGGGCGTGGGCGCGCGCCCGGCGCCAGCCGCGGGTGCTGGCGCGCGCTCGCAGCGCCGCCTGCACCGTCTCATGGCCAAGATGGCGCAGCTCGAACTGCAGCCGCACTCCTTCTACTTTATTTAACTCTGTCGCCTTTCACCTTGACTCTAATCTTGGGACATCTTGGATTGCGATCATAGTTTGAGCCAGGATCAACTTGCTAAGTGGTATGGAAAGCCTATGATGTAACCTATATGGTAATTTATGTCTAGAAATTTTTTTAGGAAGACACTCTGTTGCCAATTTAACCACTAAAGAATAGTCCAATAATTTTAGTGTTCGTAAGATAAGAAGACCTGTATAATAACAAATTATGCAACCCGTCTTAGTTTTTATGAATTAACATTTGTATACTACTTTGTTTTTCTTTGAGAGTCGTGGTAACTGAGATGGTTAGTACTTGCTGTAAATTTCATAGTAGGCAAGCAAAGGTTTCATTTCCGCCGGCATCAATGAAATAGTTAGTACTCAGCGGTGAAGGAAAACATCGTGAGGAAACCTGCATGTCTGAGAAATAAAAATAAATATTTTAAAGTCGTGAAATTTGCCAACACGCATTAGGGAAGTGCAGCGGACACTTCCTTGCCCTAAAATCCTCTCAGATATAAGAGGAGGCCTGTGCCCAGCAGTGGGACGTATATAGGCTGTAACTTTTAACTTTGTACTTCTTTGTACTGTTGTCTCTGACTATTTTTTCTAATTACCATCACCATAGATTCTTAATATGTGGTGTCGGCATTGGAGAATTCATCACCCAAAAAAGAGATGACTATAGAAAAGGCTGAAAGAACTCAAAGACTTCTATGTATATGTACTACTAAATGGACGCTACGGTACTAATACATTGCGCACCAAATTACGGTCGATTGTCCGTAAATTATTTAGTCGACTGCGAGCGGCCGAGAAGAATAGTCCTTTGTTTTGTAAACCGCGAACGTTGTTTTCGACAATCTAACACTAATTTTATTTAATCTGACAAAAAAACGCTGATATTATTTATATGTACACTTTGTCCGCGTGATTTAAAGTTTCATAACTTCAGATAACTGCAATTGAACCCGGTAGGTAAAGCTGTTGTCTAGATCCAAAAATTAACCGGGCTAAGTCGGGGCGATCACTAGTTTACATTAAAATAATTTGTGTCAACATATTTATATGTTAAATAAAATATTAAGTATTTATGCCAAATTCTGTGTCAACATTATTTATAAATTTGTTGTTATTGTTGTTATCAGAGTGTCTAGTCGTTGTTGTTTTGAAGACAGACTGTTTTATTTAAGAAAATAAAATAAATGTGTTTTATTTATAATACAGTGTTTTATTTGTAATTATACTTTAATCGGTTTAGTTCTCAGGTAAAGTAATAAGTTCCGCTTGTATAATCGATTTTCTCCATTTAATTATTTAGTGCCAGGAGGCTGGAAGCCTTAATCTGCATTAACTTAATACTAATAAAAGTATTTTATCCAAATGTTCCGACCATTTACAATAATTAATCGTTTAATTGTTTTTTGTCATGTTTTAAATGCTACATGTAAATAACAGCTTACGCCTAGAACTAACTTTATATAAAACTATTTTTTACTAATGTTTTTGTGTTTAATTTAGTTATTATTTTTAAATTCCCGACGTTTCAGGTGCTTTGCAGCACCCATGGTCACAAATAGTTTTATTCAATGTTGTAGTGTTCGCGTTAATGTAAGAAACCATTATGTAACTTACTTGTCATAATTCCATGGTAATTTTCTTTTATATGAAGTTTTTTACTTAGTCAGGTCATAAGTTCTGTCAAAAACATTTTATAAAATTAATGATACACTTTTTGGTAGTTATATAGAAATTATAATATATGAAATGAAAGGTAATTTAATTTAGAATACAATTTTATTTACATTATTCAACATTCTCTCCCCTATTTTGAATGCATGCTCTTAATCGACGCGACCAATCATCAATCTCAGCACGCACCAACTCATACCTATTTCTGCCGCTGCTTTAGCCAAAGATGCTCAGAGAATTTCCAAATTTTGATGACATTTAACGCAAACTTTCTCCTCCATATGTTACCATATGTTATAATCCAGTGGGCTTAAATCTGGACTAGTAGAAGGCCAGTCCGATAAAGCCTACTCCATAGGCGGTCAACCAGTTTTGCGCGCTTCGTGCCCTATGAGCTGGTGCAGAGTCCTGTTTGAATATCCAATGTCTGTTTTTGAACATTTTTTTGAGAAAGAGGTTCCACTATGTTTATTAGGACGGTATTTTGGTACACCTCGGTACTGGTATTTACACCTTTCTTACAGAACAAAACACCTCAGTTAAGCCTGAATATGAGACTTCAAGCCAAACCATGAGTGACGAAGGATAATGTGCTCGTTGAACCCTCGAAATACGCATGCTGGCTTCTTCACCGCTGTGGACATACACCTTATCATTTTGTTTATTATAACTTTCTTCGATGTTAAAAAAAATTTCATCCCAAAACAAAATTTTGCGGTGTTTTTTCCCGCGCGCCGCCGTAACAAAGCGCGGGATCTATCCAGCCTAATTTTTTTCAAACGCTCGTTCAAAAATGTCCGGTCTTCTTACGATAAGCTCGTAGTCCTAAGACTTCATTGATCACTCTTTTGACCGTGGTTCTGCTTAGTCCCACCCGAAGCCGCGCCTTCACTGCTTTGATGATCGCGGGTGTCCTAAATGTACGAGGTCGGCCGGTACTCTTACGATCTTCAAAGCTTGAATCTTCAGTGAATCGTTTGATAGTGCGATAAACAAATTGTAGGGTTATTTTCAATTTTTGTAGAATTATGAAAATCTCTTTTGTCGTGTAACCAAAGCGGTGCAACGCGGTAACCGATACTCTATCTTCTTTCTTCGACCACTCCATATTAATTAATGAAAATTAATGTCTTTTTTTATTTTCGGCACGCGCAAACGTTATATTTTTAAAATTGGTGAAGTTCATCTAGCCAGTATTCAAAAATTTTATTTAATAAGGTTTTGACAGAACTTTGACCCGACTAAGTATAATTTTAATAGATAACGATAAATATGAACAGAAACAGAAACAAAAACTTTTTTGTATTCAATATTCATTTTAAATAATACTTATTGAAAGTTACTTTTTTAATTTACCACTGGTTCGGAAAAACCCTCTGTCCTGGGAAGAACCAGCAAGGAACCAAGTGGTACTTTTCTTTAAAAAAACAGTTTCCAATTATGTACGTTACAATTAACAATTAACGTTACAGCCTTTCAAAAGTCTATTGCTGAGCTGAGGTGAGGCCTATCCTCACCTAAAAATCCCTTATAATTACCACAGTTGCCGCACTTGGCTGGCGATCAGAAAACCGCAGATTTTTATTCTTTACGTCATTTTTGCACAGCGGTCACTACATAAAAATATGAAATGAAAATAAATATTTATGTATTGTTTGGATGGATTGACTATGTAGTTGTTTCGCTTTTAATTTCCTTCAAATCCAATTTAATTAAATATATATTTATAATAATATTTTTCCATCACCAATGAATATCTCTCTCTCTCTCTCTCTCTCTGGCTATTATTATTAAAAAATATTGTTATATTATTATCATATATTATGTTTTGTTGTCTGAGTTTTTGTACATCTGTAATTATAAATATATTAAATGTAATTACAGCCAATATTATTATAAACTAACTTAAAGTGCTCAAGAGAAGTGACACCTTTTTTTATTTATTTCAATCAAAAGTTATGCATGTTGGAATTTAAAAAAAAATTCTTACTTGTTTTATTATTATTCGATTTCAGAAATGTGATTTCTTACATTTTAATATGACGTTACAGTATGAATGTTTCATTAAAATATAGTACATGACCTCGTTACAAGTGACTAACTTTTTAAAACTGACTATAAAGAAGTAACTTAGTTTAACAACATTTCTGAATATACAAGGCATCTACCTGAAATCTTAGCTAATCTATAGATATACATATAAAAATAAAATTAAACTGTCTGTCTATAATATAGAAATAATTGAAGTAATTTACATGCTATTTAAGTATTACGTCACAAACAACCGTTTATAATTTTTTAAATGGTTCAACCAATTGTGTTGAAACCTTACAAACAGATAGAGAGTCATGCTAGAAGGGATTTAGGCTATATCTGAAAAACTTGAAGTTTTTTTAAGATACCAAAAATTAATAAAGTTAATGGTCTTTGATTATCTTAAGTCTAAATAATGCCACATTTGATAGAGCCTACCCAAGCGAAGCCGGGATGAGTCGCTATTAAACTCACAACTTTCTTTATATTTAGTCTAGACCAGACATAATTAAAAATACCTGTCAATGCTTTAGAAAATGCTATTCAATCTTAAATCATAGACCTCCATTACACAACCTATCGAACAAAATAAACGTTCGTAATTGCACTCCGGGGTACGACACTGTACATCCGTCAGATGCGTAAGATAACAGAACCACGATTATTAAGCTATGGCCCCATTATGCTCACGTTGTAGTCAAATTGCTAATTTAGAGATTGTTAAAGTTGTACTTTTAGTACAACTTTAATTAAAGTCATTATCGTGGGAAAGGTTATTTTTAAATTGAATCTGTGTATTTAAGGCTGGCACAAAGATTTTGACTTTTTTTGTAATATTTGAGAGCGTTAACTTTTCTTCCATTTTATTTAAACTAAGTCATAAGAAATCGATTCCTTTCTGTGTTGTTACGGGTAGAGATAGAGCGACTTAGGCTTAAATTTACACCTACTACAAAGATATGAATAGCTGACGGTGTTTGAATTGATTGAAATACTCTTAACTAATTGGGACTATTACCTACTATAGGACGACATAGTCTCGTGTGACGTTTACATCACAGGTCCTGGGTGGCTGCATCACCTACTACACATTACATGGTAAACGGAGGAAACGTTCTTTGTTCTGCAGTTCTTTTTTAGCAAATGCGCAAAAAACAATAATTGTCGATTATTGGAGTCCGGTTATATTTTGAACCCATGTATCTGATACGCATAGCCTTTACCCGCGATGTTATAAGTCTATAATAATTTTATCTCTTAATTGCATTTAA